ACTAGCAGCAGTGGTACTAGCATTAGTAGCAGTAGACGCGCCAACCCTGCCATCCCCTACATCCCTATTATTACTGTCGGCAACAGCTTTTGGAGGTGGCGATTTGAAATTTCTTCACTATCTTCATCATCTCCCAAATCTACAATTTCTGAACACAGGAGTGAAATTTCTGAAAATACGTTTGAAGATTGCTCATTGATTTCACTCCTGCGAGCTGAAACGTCGATTGGAGTAAATCGAGACAGCTCAGGCTCATCTAAAATCGTACCAACCGATGAAACTTTATCAGGCTTGGATTTGGGCAAACTTTGCTTTGGTTTTGCCGCCGCGTCGGTTGTCAGGGTCGCAGTTTTCTTCACCGGTTTTTTCTTGGCAGATACCGCTTTCTTCTTGCTTTGTGGAGCATACAGACCGAAGTTATCTCCTTGAGGTTTGTCGGAAGCCTCAGGTTTCCTTTTCTGGCCAACATTTACGCTGAGAGCTGCAGCCTTCGCTTCGTTGCGGTCGATGTGAGTTTCGAGCTCATCGAGCGATGCGAATGACAAGAAAGCAAACCCGCTCAACAGGTCCAAATCAGGCTGCAGATTCACACTTCTAGACGCGCTGGCAGGCGATTTACCTTTCCATCCGACCGCTGGTAGAAATCCAAAGGTAGAATTCGACAAATTTGCGTTCAAGACTTGAGTTACCGGGCTAAATGTCGTAGCCTTCGGCTTGGTTTTGCTCCCCATTCCACGCGAACACTCTCGGATAGTCGCTACTACGCCCAGTTCAATTCGTACTCCAAACCCTACCGATTGACCTCTTAGCAGCAGAATTAGCTACTGAACTTACTCTTCAACCGAATGATGGCATATTTTGTGGAGAATAAGCTGCAAAACCCAGCCATTTCTCAGTTGTTTTTCGTCGAGTTTGAAGAGCACAGCCACGTGTTTCCCCCAGAATCCTCCACCCTAATCGTCCGCCATTTTGAATTCCAAATACAGTAAACCTATTGTGTTTTTAACCAATCAGATTGCAGAGATGTCGGTTCCGGGCTCGTGACGTAGCTCGTGACCATTTGTGGAAATGTTGTGCAAATCGCTTCAGAGCTCCTCGTGAAGAAATAAGCTTACTTCTTACAGGAACTTCGTTTAGTGTGAATTTTGCTCTATATTTCTTTGGAAATGAATCTTAAGGACCAAGAAGAGTTCTACTAGAGTGTGTGTTGGATTGTTTTTCTTGCTTGGTGGGATAGAATATGGTAAGAAATGATTAGATGAGCTGATGTTTTTTTAACTTTTCCATGCAGGCAACGAACAGCTTGATTTTTCCCGTTATATAAAGCTTATTTATCTTTCGTTTGAGTTGGTAAATGACAATCGCAGTTTGCAGTGGTTTTCATTGTTTTGATTTCCGCCCGTATCAACTAAAAGTCTCGATGTGCACACAAGATTAAAACTTTCTTGACATAACTCGAGAGAGCTTACTCTAGCAGGTAAATCACACTCGAGCTGAAAATATGCAAAATTTCGCGCTGTTTCGGTTGTGTAAGAAGTTATGTCACGTGAATTTTGGTATGTTTTCATGAATCTGAATGCATTATTTTCATCGAGCATAATAAGTATGATAGTGTATTGAATTAAGTTTGATTCTTCTTATGTAAGTAATTTTTTTCTCCGATCGAGAAAATCAGAACATCAATCAAAGAAATTCCAATTTTAAAAATATAAAGTGTGTCAGATATAGTGCACTAGCTGACACAAGTGTATTTGTAAGTATCATATTTGTTTATTTATTTACTTAATACTTAATTAATTATATTTGTTATAATTAGAATCATCGAAACGTCAAGAGGAGTTTGTATTTCTAGTTATAATTAGTTGCAAGAATTCAAGAGGAGTTTCCTAACACAAACCAACATGAATGTCCTAGCAAACAAACTGAAACATGTTCACATACCGTAATGATTCGATTTACCGCCTGGGGCGCTAATTTACTTTTGGTAGCAGAGAGCGCTAAGTGGAAAGGGGGTGCTTATTAGGGATGGTTCTTTGACAGGAACAATAACAGAAACTGTAACACTAAGGTCATGTTCTATTGGGATCAACCATTTTAGGTTGGTTGGGTTGGTTTTTTCGTGTTCTATTGGAAATAATGTTTTAGGTGGGTTTGGTTGATCAACGTTTTCAACCGGCATCAAACTAGGTTGAAACGGTCCGTTTCAAACCGAAAACGGTTGGAAAAGTGTTCTATTTGGAAACCGCAACCATTTCAACCCAAACCGGTTGCGGTTGAAACAGTTGATCCCAATAGAACATGACCTAACTGTAACAAGACGGGTTTGCATAGTCAGAATAGCATTCACTTGTCTATTCCAAGTCAATATCTTTAATATTACTTTCAGATGAGAAAGAAGACTACCGGTATATGGGGCGTTTATGCAAGAGGGCGCTTATTTGAAGGGGCGGTTATTGGAATAGGGGCGCTTATTAACAAAGCGACACTTGAGGGGGAGCGCTTATTAGAAATTAAAGGGGTGCTTATTGGAAGGAGGGCGCTGATCTAAATTGGTTTCGCAACCAATCAGAGCATTGTATGAAGAAATTTTAATTTAATCATTGTGCACAAAATCACTATTTTGGTTTGTAATGTACTAAGTACTGATCGATGTCTTTTGTTTATTCCTGTAGCCGTTATTCTGCCGACTCTGTGGTTGTATCTGGAGCATAGATTTGACGCTGAGCAGTGGTTTTTTGGAGTGGTCTTTGCGGCATTCTGTTTCGCGAGTTTGTTATCAAGTCCCTTGTTTGGTTTCTGGGTTGACTACACACGCAACACAAAAACTGCTATTCTGTTTGCAAATCTTTTTGAAATAGGAGGTAAGTTATTAGGTTTTCCTAACTCATTTTTTCGTTCAATCTCATGCAATGTTGTATTTGTGTATCTTGAAGAAATAAATTGTCAACAACAGACTTGAAACCAAATTTTAATAATAACACAGTCTTGGATTCTTTAAAAATTTCAATACTTTTCTTTTGCCTTATTTCTTATAGACCTTATTCATAAATGGCGGCCGATTAATTATTCTTTTATATTCATGCTAATCAGCCTCCCTAGCCTCATTTAGAGTAAAATTCAAATAATTTTGCACATACTAACGACTAGGGGGCTGATTAGCATGATATATAAAAGAATAATTAATCAGCCGCCATTTATGAATAAGGTCTATACAGCATTGTAATCCATGTTTTGTGAGGGCTGTCCGATACACCCAATCTGAGTTGATTAGTCTAATTAAAGGTAGCTCACAATATTCGACTTACCAGAAATCATGAATTGACTAGGCTTACTGACGATTTGACTCAGTTCGGGTGTATTGTACATGCTTGTGCTTTGTGAACCTGGTCACATATGGCTGATTAGAACACATTACTAATATTGATCATTCTTTCATGACAGGTAATTTCTTATACTTCATTGCTTGGTCCAAGTACTGGGTACTTGGTGCACGATTTATTGCCGGTGAGTTTTTTTTAAGGGATTTGTTTACTTTAGTGTTGTTGCTCATGTGGAACTAACAGGTATATAGCCGGGAACAGTAAATGGCTTTTTTGTGACTTTTGTGAAACTACATGTACAATTCCAGCTTGAGTCCATTTGCCATTTGGAGAGCAGTGATGGTGCAAGGGTGGTACAAGGGTTTTTCTCTGGGTTCTCCGGTTTTCCTCCCTCCAAAAAACCCACCAACATTTCTAAATTCCAATTCTGGAATCTGAGAGCCACAGGTTTGTCAATCGTTAGACTGTTATGTGTCACCCGCCTTATTTAAACATCAGGGTAATAAATAAATCTAAGCATGTTTATAAATAAATTATTGCAATGTTCATCTGTTAGGCATAGGTGCTGGAATAGGAGCTGGGATATTTGCACAGATTGCAAGAACGACAACAGATAAAGAAAGGACCGGGATGTATTCCATTGCAATGGGCTTGCGGCAGTTTGGTTTGTTAGTAGGTATGTGGATTAGGTGGGATATCAATTACCCTGCGAGCAGAGAGTCGCTTTCCCGATTTTTTCTAGGAAGATCGAAAGCGACTCTGCTCGGCAGGGTAGATATCAATGTGTGGTTCCAGAAAATATCCATATCCACCCCATTGGAAATTCTGAGGGGGAGGGGTGATCTCAAAAACCAAATTTTTAAAGGAAAGTATGAAGCTAAACTGGAATTTCCAGGGGGGTTCAATCCAAAATACCTTTTTGGCAGTGGTATGGGGAATTTTTTCTGGAACAAGAAAATGGTATGAAATTGTTAAAAAATGGTTTACAAGTGAGAAAATCTAGTCAACTGTGCTGTATTGACAAGAAAGTAAATCAATAAAAACAATTTTCAACTTGAAAATTGAAATTGAGAAAATAAGTTGACTCATTAGAGATAATATTATTCTGTGATGTTTTACTCTGATCATTGTTATAAATTTGGGATACCAAAAGGATTGACTGGGTTTATGAATTTTGCAACTAAGTGAATCTTTCCTTTGAACTTTGGTCTTTTTTAAACATTTAGCTGAAGGTTTGACCTGTGTATATACAATCCAAACAATAATCATGTACCATAATTTTTAATATCAAATGATTTTCAAGGCATGTAATGTTTTGTGTTTATTGTTTAATTTCAGGGCCTGGCTTGAATCTTTTTCTGAGGGAATTTAATGTGAAATTAGGCCATTTAAGGTTGATGCTTACACGTCACCCGGAGTAAGTTCAGGTTTAATTAATAATACCATTTGATATAAATATAAATATGTGATAAAGTTAATTACCATGTATTGCCTGCCGGAAAACTGTGATGAAAAACACAATAAATGGTTGAGCAGTGCAGCATTGAAGATACAGTCTGAATGGAAATCAGATAATTAACTTGGTAATGAAAGTTAAAGTGCTGAGCTGAACCCATAAATTTACTGAGTGTTAGCCAAGTGAGGAAATGGAGACCACGCGTCAGCTAAAGAAAAAGTATTTGACCTCGGTGGGATTCAAACCCACGACCTCCGGATTAGATGACTGTTGCTCTACCGACTGAGCTACGACGCCAGATGGGAGCAGGACAGCAGGTCATGGGTAGTTAAGGTGGTAATTCGCGGCAAAGCGGATGTGAATGGTACAATAAATGTGATGAAAAGACACTAGCCTGACAAGTTGTTTCCACTAGTATAGCCCAAGCTGCATCAAGCTGCTGACCACCCCGCCAAAAATCCTCATCATTGAGGGGTGTCCGTATTGGGAAATAATATTGATGTATTTTGATGAGTATTTGGTTTTTTTTTCCTTTATTAGATCTTTATGGCTGGAGTATGGCTTCTACTAGAGTTTATCATACTGTTCTTTATTACGATCTTCCAATGATAAAACCCGATGACGAGAAAGATCAGAATGGCTACGATTCTAGTGTAAATGGTCAGAACGAGTACGATTCTAGTGTAAACAGCAGCGTCGAGCGTAACTTGTTTGACAAGAAAGCACTTCAGGGTAATACAAGAATCAACGAGAGCCGTACCGACTACATCATTTCCAGTGACACAAATGGTGATTTAACAAGCAGTGGTGCAGTTATTGATGGCGAAAAACAGAAACTTATCAATGTCAATAGACCAGGGTTTCGCAAACGTACAAGAACTAATTCTGTAATGGAAAATTGGCACCTGTCTAAAGGTAGGCTCCGAAAAGCTTCTTACATTTATTTAGGATTATATTACCTTACAATAGGTTATAGAAAGAAAGTCGGTTGTTATGCAGTATACAGTCAACTCTCGCTAAGGCAGACACCAGCGCGACCGACACCAACTGTCCATCTTAGAGAGGTATCCGGCTTATAGAGAGTTAAGATACAGTACCCATGACTGAAAAATGTTGTGCAGGGATCAACACCAGGTGGCCGTCTTATAGAGGTGTCCGTCTTATAGAGGTGTCCATCTTATAGAGGTGTCCGTCTTATAGAGGTGTCCATATTATAGAGGTGTCCGTCTTATAGAGGTGTCCATCTTATAGTGGTGTCCGTCTTATAGAGGTGTCCGTCTTATAGAGGTGTCCGTCTTATAGAGGTGTCCGTCTTATAGAGGTGTCCATTAAGAGAGAATTGACTGTATGATATATGATGGTGACTCTTTTCCATGTTTGTTTTACATGTGCACAATTATCAAACCCTTATAACTCGAACCTCCTGCTAACTTGATGTAAATTGGTTTTCCCTTCAGGTCATTTTCTAACTAATTTTACCTGGGTGGGTAACTCGAACTCCCTTTAACTTGAACTCCTGATAACTTGAACTCCCTTTAACTTGAACTCCCAATAACTTGAACTCTCAATAACTCGAACATTTTTCAATGTCACTTGAAGGTTTGAGTTATCGGGAGTCATCTGTACATATGTAGTTTTTACTGCCTTATGTGCGGACACGCACATAAAAGGGATTTTAAGTAACTGTAGTTTTAATTGTGTTTTCATTCAATAGATCTTGTCAGAGAGGAAGTGATTGTTATCTTGGCATCGCAATTCATGATGTTCTTCAATGAAACAGCATTTGAGGTTTGTTCTACTACAGGCATTCCAAGTTCATGATAATGATTTATGTAAGCACTACGAATGGAACATGACTCTCTGAACTAAGCGATGTTGTGTTACAATGTCGGCCGTTGAGAATTTGAACGCTCTACAAGACGTTCATTTTGCATGGAGTTCGAAACAGCGTTTAATATTTAAACGTTCAATACTGTAAATTTTTTTTCGCTATTTGTTACTGTCATATAAGGTCACACAGCTGTGGTGTTTAAAATAAAATCTTTGTTTTCCTAATTCTTATTGCAGGCTATAGTTACTCCTTTGTCGGAGCGTCTTCTTGGCTGGCACGAAATTGAAAACAGTATTCTGTACTGTTTTATAGCTTTAGAGGTAAAACATTTTTTAACTTTCTTGTTTCCTCTGATGCATTTTCGTTTGGCTCCATTTTCAAATGTCTCCACTGTGGATAGCGTTTTCAAATGTATACGTTTTCGATGAAAACACTCAGCATTGTAGTGTGGGCAATAGGCGAAAATGCATTCTCATTCCCAGATCCTCTGTTTCTTTTGGTCACATGGTTGGCGAAACGGAGGCTCTGGTCTCAGCCATTACCGAAAATTCCGGACATCCATTCATTAATTTGTGTTGCGCATTCAATTTTTATCAGCCAATGAAAAAATTTGATTTTTTCCTTGCGACCACTGGGCTACTCGTTTCCGGCGCAAAGAAAAAACCTGAGGAGCTCTGGGAACGAGAATGGTGAAAACGCATCAAAAAGTATGTGTTTGTCAGTGTGGATGGGGTTGAGTTATTCTCTTACTAGTTTTCAAATTGGCAGAAAATTTGACAGTCTCCAGGTTGTAGTTAAAAAAATAATGTTTTTTTTTTCATCAGGCCATTCTTGTATTTGCTCTTGTAAGAAAGCTGAGTCACAAGATGTCAGATAGGTAATCAACTGAGTCTTCTTAAAGGAGCTATGTCACATTATTTTAAGTCATTTTTGCGAAGTGCAAATTCACCTTCAAATTGAAGAAAGCCTCATAATAATAGATTACTAAAGAAGAAAAACACCAAAGAGGTACCAAACAGGAACAAGGATGGTTGAGGATGGAGAAGATTAAGACGGATTGTGAATGGCGAACTTGAAAAAATTGGCCATTTTTTCAAGATGCACCATCCGTGACATAGCTCCTTTATTTAATATTTTTTTGTGTCCAGCATAGTGTTATAAAGCTGGGAACATAATGATGAGAGTTTGGAAATAAATAATCAATATTATCAATATTTATTTATTAATATTTTTTAATTGATAAAATGTGTAAAATTAAATAACATTTTTTAATGCATGTCGTGGGGTTTTTTGTAGGTGGCTTATGGTAATTGGTATTGCATTTGAGGGGCTTGCCCTTATTTGGTATCTCTGTCTTTTGGCCAACGCAAAGCCATGTAAGTTACCATATTATAATCTCTTTGGTGTTCTTTCTACCTTAAATTAGTTAACTATTATAATAATATTATGACTAGAGGTTTCTTTAGATTTGAAAGTAAATGTAGATAGCGAAAATTGACTTACAGCAAAGAGCTCCCTAACATTGCCACTCAAGAAAGTTTTTGATTAATTTTTGACATCTTTTTGACAACTTTCTAATGGCTTTCGTTTAAACTGGCCAATCAAAATGCAAGAAGTATGAGAGGCAGAGATGTCTAGCTCCATGTTCGCGTTCTGACAATTGCCATTTCCGCCTCCCACAGTTCTTGCAATTTGATTTGCTAGTTTACTCGGAAGCCATCAGAAAGTTGTCAAAAAGATTTCAACAATTAATCAAAAACTTTGTCACGTGGCAACGGTAGGGCGCGTAGCACTGTAATACTATTGTGAGATAGCTTCGTAAATCTTAATATTTTTGTTTGTCTCTTCAGATGATTCAGTCGTTCTTCCCACCATCGTTGTTGGTACATTAGTTATCGTGTTTGGTTTGCCGTTTTTCTCAGTAGCAAATATTTCCCTCTACTCCAAAATCACTGACGAGAAAACCCAAGGTAAAATAAATTAAAATGGTTTTAAAAAAAAATAGCTTTCACTCAAAGTCATGTAATATAATAATAATAATAATAATAATAATGACATTTTAACAGGAGATTTTTTAATAACTACTTTCATTGTTTTTGACATTTTCAATCTAAGGCAATGTGCCAGTTTGGCAAATCTTGTAGAAAATACTCTCAGAATTCAATTCAGACTGTATGACCTGAAATAGCTTGAGTCTTCAGGGTTTGAGCTTTCAGGCCTGACTACTGTCTTTCATGCCGTTTTCTTTGGAAAGACACATACTCTTAGTGACAGGGTTGGTACGGGTCCTTGAAATCCTGGAAAGTCCTGGAATTTTGTTCTGGCATTTCTTTCAGTCCTGGAAAATGAGAAGTGATTTTTGTGGCAGGTCCTGGATATCTATAAATTTATTGGAGAATTCAGTGACATGCAGAAAGAATGGTCACAAAATAAACTAGAGGGGAGCGGGAATGGCGCAGTGGTGAGAGCGCGAGCTCGCCTCCCACCAATGTGGCTGACCCATCATATGTGAGTTAAGTTTGTTGTTGGTTCTCGTCCTTGCTCCAAGGGTTTTTCTCCGTGTTCTCCGGTTTTCTTCCTCCTCTAAAACCAACACTTCTAAATTCCAATTCGATCTGGGATCCAAGGGCCACAGGTTTTTCAGTTGCAAGACTGTTCAGTGCTATCCTTTTTTAAATTTTTATTTAACTAAATCGGATGGAGGAAATTCTCGCAAAATGCGAAAAAGATGCATTGAAAATAAACAGCTTGATGTGTATTTTGGAGAATCTAGGGATTGGTCATTATGTCTGGTTCCTGATGTTATGGTTCTGTTACTTAAACCACTTGCACTGAAACGTTTGCGCAATAATGTGTCAGGGGCCAAAATACATTTTAGTTCCTTTGTTCATGTTGTGGTGGTCCTCTTTTCAGGCATTGCTCAAGGTGTTCAGAGATCGGTAACAGGAGTAGCCATGATCCTAGGCCCCTTATGGGGTGGGGCTCTAACGCGGAGGCTCTATCTTATGATAGGAGTCATGGTGGTGCTAGAAGTCATCTTAGCAGTAAGTACATCATAGTTGTTACATGGAAGATATTAAACGACCCTCAATGCTCGCGCTTCTTGTGTCACAAATGGAAGACAACTAGCAGTTGACAAAAAACATTTTGTCTGTTCCTTTGCACATTCCCTTGTTCGTTTCCGTTTGATTATCACTCGGATTATTGTTAAAGGTATAAACATCTAGCCTCGCTATAAATATCCAGTTGATAGCGTGCTCAGTTTTGTTAACACTAATCCGCTGGATAGCGATTTATCCGGTGGATAGCGTTATCCACCCTTTGAAGAACTGGGCCCTGTTTTGTTAGCCTGTGAACGGGGGGCTGTATATTAAATGGAGAAAGCCTGGGCAAAAAGAACAGCAGGCTTAGGATTTCTCCTAGACTACGAACATCTACTTGAAGATGAAAAAACGAGCAGGAAAAC